AAAATGCTAAAGTATCTCAAAATTGTATTGCAATCGTAATTTAATTTGAATTGATTGAGCCGAAAAATTCAGTAGAAAAATGAGAAATGAAGTTTTCTATGTTTTTTACTGCTTTCATATGTAACTATCGTGGAGCTCATATTGGATTGCGACTCAAACTTTCACCACTTGAGCTGGGGCCGCAAGGTTATCAACGCCCGAGGTAAGTCCCTATATGAATATATAATTAAGAAAGATCTAACAATCTTGAACAGAGGGACGGAGCCGACATTTATTAACGCCCGTAGCCAAACATCAATAGATATCACGCTTACGACAATATCAAACAAAATCCAAGACTGGCAAGTCGCGGACCATATTTCTATATCAGACCACCGCTGGCTGACTCATACGGTAAGCCAGGATCTCAGGACCACTGTAAAATCTCGTGACCCGAAGAGGACGGATGTAGCTCTCTACAATCGACTCTTAAGAGGAGCTCTGTGGGTAACAGAGGTCCTGACTCCTGGCAACAATAAAGAACTGGAGAGGTACACGGTATCTATCCACAACAAAATAGACATTGCCTATAAGGAATCCTGTCCGATGAGATGGCACAACCAACACATGGTGGTGCCCTGAATTGGAACACCTCAGGAAGACAGCGAGAACGACCTTTAACAAGGCAAAACGTACAAGACTCGAAGAGGACTGGGGTATATATCAAGCCAACCTCAAAGAGTTCAGAAAAGTCTGCAGATGAAAGCATAGAATAGCCTGGAGAGCCTATTGTGAGGCAGTCGAAGACTTCCCACTAGCTTCTAGGCTACAGAAGGCACTCTCAAATGACCTCCATAAGAGTATCGGCATCCTGACGAGGGAAAATGGCGACAAAGCCGCCAACCTTCAGGAGAGTGCTGAGATTCTTATAGAAACTCAGGTTCTGTCTTTCCTGGAACGACGAACTGGACGGATGTACCAACAACACTCTCACAATACGACTGGCACTCTGCTAGTGCAGTAATTGATGAGGACAAAATAAGATGGGCTATATCGGGCTTTTCCCCCTTGAAGTCACCAGGACCTAACGGTATAAGACCAGCCTTACTTCAGGGGAACTGGACACTCTTATGCCACACCTGGATGGAATATTCAGAGCCTCTCTAGCTCTGAGGTATATTCCTAGTAAGTGGAAAGAAGTAAGAGTAGTATTTATACCCAAACCAGGTAGGATGGACTACACCCTACCAAAAGCATTCCGACCAATTAGTCTCACATCGTTTTTCTTAAAAACCATGGAGAGGCTATGTGAGCGGTACATAAGAGATGAAGTACTAGTTCACAACACACTTCATCCGAATCAGCATGCATGTACTCCGGGAAGGCCTACTGATTCGGCCCTTCACACCATGTGGTTGGCTGAATCGAGGGATCATTGGAAAACAAAGAATCCACCCTGGGTATGTTCATAGATATCGAGGGAGCGTTTGATAAAACAATCTTTCCAACAATAACCCAGCAACTATACTCCAGGAATGTATTGCTGGTAGTAGGAGAATGGATACTCAAGATGCTCTCTAGTAGAACAATAAGTATTGATGTAGAAGACATCACAGTGAAAGGACTGGTCATGAGGGGATGTCCATAGGGAGGGATCTTATCACCCCTCCTCTGAAACATAGTTCTGGATACCCTGATTAATCACCTTAACAAAAATGGATTCTACACAATTGCATACGCAGATGGCAGAATTATCTTGCAGACTGGCAAATTTGTAAACACACTGTGCGATAGAGCGCAAGATGGGCTCAAATTAATAGAAACATGGTGTAAGGAACACTCACTGTCGATCAATCCCAAGAAGACTGAGATGGTCCTTTTCACCAGGAAAAGAAGTTTAACGATTTTATATAAGTCAAATATTACAAATGTGCCATGTACTCATTTTGATACTTCCTGTTGCCTGACAAGTAAGTAATCATAAACAATTTTCCAAATTCCATTACCTTTAAGAAATTTTTGCAAATTTCAATCACAAAACTTTCTTTCCAATTAGATCACTTACTTTCAGGTGAGCACTGATGATGACGAAAGTCGAAAGCGCTTTGCAATAATTTTATAATTATACACTTTCATACAAAAACTCTTCAATTCATTCTTTCAAAGATTTGACTAGTTTAATAGATACCTACACTTCGAAGAAATAGGTGGAATATAATAAAGACTAGTAATATTGTTAATTTTTCTCATGAAATTTATTTCTTTCAATAAGTTTTCACACTGTGATGATAGTTAAGTTCTACTACTATTATTGGTTTTTTTCTGATTAATTCGGCCGTTACTTGATGAAGATCTATAGTAATTTTAAAAACTACAGCTCACGATTTGATCTCCACAAACTTCATTTGAAAAAATATAATCACAACATGTTTCGCTAGCACAGTACCTTTTTTTCATTCATACACTTAAAAAGCTACTGTGCTAGCGAAACATGTTGTGATTATACGATCAATCCCAAGAAGACTGAGATGGTCCTTTTCACCAGGAAAAGAAGTTTAACGGGCTTAAAATCTCCCGAAATCTTCAAAAGCAAACTAAACTTCTCTAAAGAGGTGAAATGCCTTGGAACTATCCTCTACATGGAACTCTCATCTACAGAGTAGAGCAAAAAGAGCATACGTGGCTTATGAGCAATGTCGGAGGACAGTGGGACGCGCATGGGTTCTTTCACCCCGTGTGGTCACCTGGATCTACACTGCAATAATAAAATCTATGTTAACGTATGGAGCCATTGTATGGGTACCAAAAGTTTTACAAGTAACGGCTATCCAAAAATTATATCAAATACAGCGACTGGCTTGTTTAAATATCACAAGAGCTATGAGAACAACACCAACCGCGGCAATGGAATTAATCACGGGTCTGACCCCTCTAGATCTGTACGTTAAGAAGGTTGCGTTAATGATCATGGTACGACTGCACATGGACTGTAAACCTCGAAGTAGGTTGGTCTTCATCTAAAAGAAGTTACTTGGGGTTACAGTCCATTGGATTGGAAGTGAGACTTTTGAAAGGAAAAGTGCTGCAATTGCTTGCAAAAGATTCGAGGGAGCTCACACATATGAAAAAGTTGCTGAAATGATAGCTGATATACATTCAGACTATAATCTGAAACTATCAAAAATTGTTAAAACGGTTACAGATAACGGCTCAAATATGGTTGAGGCTTTTGAGGTATTTGGAAAGTCTGATTCAGAGGTAGCAGAAAATGAACATGTTTCACAAACATTAGGAGATCTTGAAAAAACATCACTTGATGAAGGTAGTGAAGATGATGATTCACTTTAGTACTACAAGCTTTTCCAGATGCTTCATCAGACTTAGAAGGTGATTGCCTTCTGCCTGAACATGAAAGATGTGCTACACACACTTTACACCTGATTGCTAGTACTGATTTCAAACAAGCAAGAATCAAATATACAGTTTATAAGAAACTACATGACACAGCATTATCAAAGTGCCAAGCACTGTGGAACTTGTGTGCTAGATCCCCAAAGGCATGCGAGACATATTTACGAATAACAGGGAAGTCACCAACTTCTCCATGTGCAACTCGATGGAACTTCTACTATAATTCAATACAAGATCTTTTAGCCGTGCAGAACCATCTTAGTGAAGCCATGAAAATGTTAAAGTCACCACCGCTGAAAGAAAAAGAAATTCACTTTTCAAGTGATTATGTGGACTGTTCAAAGCCTATAGCAGAGGCTATTCAAAGCCTGCAAGGAGAAAAAGACAATTATTATGGCTGTCTGTTACTGGAATTATACAGAATCCAACATGTTATCAAAAGCCTCAGAATGGGAAATCTGAAATACTGCTCTGCTAGATGTAATAGAAGAAAACTTAGATAGACGGTTTAAACGGTTTTTGCAGTTGGAACCAGCAGCAAACGATGCTATATTAGCCTAAGTGTCCGATCCAATGTTTAAACTGAAATGGGTACCAAAAGCGCGAAAGGAATATGTAAAAGAACTTGTCCTGTCTGAAACTAGAAAGATCAATCGATCTGAAAAACAAAAATCAGAGGCTTTAAACAACATTGAAGGTGATATAAAAAAAAGACAAAAGATGAATCTTATTATATGTTTCTAGAGGACTCTGATTCTTCAATTGCTAGTGGCGAAAACACAAGCAGCACCAGTGATTTAGAGACACTCCAGCACCTGAACAATAAAGATGCAGATTTTAAGAGCTTAAATGCTTATCCTACGATAAAAAAATATTCCTGAAATATAACACCTGTTTGCCCAGCTCTGCCCCTGTGTAGCGACTCTTTTCTTTTGAGGGCATGATCATGAGGCCTCATAGAAGGAAGATGAGCGACAATATGTTTGAAGAATTACTTTTAGTGAAATCTCAACTAAAATATATATATTATCGAAAATTGTTTTCTTGAATAAATGAACTTGGCAGTTCAATTAAATGTTGTTTTCTTACAAAAGTATTTTATCTTCAAAAAGTATTTGAAAGATAGGCATTTTGTATCTAGTATTTCAGATACCTTTTTAAAAAATTATTCATATCTGGTATATGCAATGCTTTTTTTTGAGTATCTTGCATCTTGTATTTCTGATACTTTGTATAGGGTATCTTATACATCACTGATGAGCAGCTACAGTCTATCGCGTATTTCTGATATGTACCGTTCTTGATGGAATCAAATGTGCTGAGTCACTTGAACACCTCCCGTGAAAGTATCTATAGAAGAGAGACAAATCTCCAACCTTTCTTCGATGTTCCAGGCTATCAAGGTTGCACGTGATCTTTAATCTGGTTGTCTNGTGACCATTTTCATGACGTTCAAACAATAATAAATATTGAATTTCAAGTGAGTGTTCAAGGAAGACGCACATGTTCAACAATAAATCCTGTAACGGAAAAAGAAAGTACACCAGCTCATGGACTATATAAACTTCCTTTCAGCTTTGACACCAGTTGAATTTGTTACGGCTCGATGAAAACAACAACGCATGCGTCTCGTTGAATATTATGCTCGTGAAAGCGCAACCTTTGCTGAATATAGTCGCAGTTTTAGTGTGTGGCTATTGCGGGCATTCATTAAGTCAATCTGCGTTAATTAACAATAGTTTTCAAGGTAAGAGCGATTTTATATTCAAAGGATTTTGTCGGCTAACAAATGTTTGCAATTTTTTGTTACTCCGAAACAGTTTATAACCGAATAATAATGCAATATCCTTTTTGCAATTAGGCACCTTTCCTTTGGAAAGTGACCAATGGAAAGTGACCAGAACCGCTTCCTTCATTCATTTCATTATAGCTTCTGTTTTCATCCATTTTTGAAGTGTGTGGAGCGGATATACCCAAATGTATCATTGACAATCGAACAGTAGTATTATTTTTGTAAGTCTCATTAATGAATTCAAATGCTGGTATTCCAAGAGAATACGTTTTTAATGTAAATAATCTAAACTTACATGCCATTGGAGAAAATGTTCGTTTAGTTTACCGATCACCTTCACATTGAGTAGGGTCAAACTATTCACAATGTTTACAATGTTCTATTTGCGATTTTCACATTATAATTCACAAAACGGCAACACGTTTTACAGTAATCCTAAATACAGGCTCCTGAACAATCTATTTTATAGTGAAATACGTGTACAGTATTGTAAACTGTTTTGTGAAAATTTCACAAAGCATTATTATAAAATGAAACACGTGTAGAGACTTTATATATTCTCATATTAGAGTGTTGTTTAATGTGTTTTCTTAGATTTCTGTTACTGCTTTGAAAGATTCTGCTACGCATTATTGAACTCACAGTTAGTCCCTCGTTGACAACAAGGATATTGCGGTTGCTGTATTTCTTGATATTGACGGAACATTTGACAATGCACTACGTAAATCTAAGCTAGGAAGAGTATAGAATCCACCATAATTGGCTGGATCTATGCCATGCTAGTAAACAGAACTGCAACTAAGACTCTTCAAGTCGAGGCCACTCGGTTCAGGGTCACCAGGGGCTGCCCTCAAGGTGGGGTACTATCTTCCCTTCTGTGGTCGCTCCTGATGGATAGTTTGATTGATGTCCTCGACAGAAGAAAAGTTGATCTGCAAGCTTATGCACATGACCTTGTCATCCTGGCAAGGTCCACGTCGGTCTTGTAATATCCTCCAAAGCGCGTTGGACGTTGTTCACAGTTGGTGCTGAGGGAGCAGATGTCTGTCAACCCCAGTAAAACTGTGTTAATCCCCTTCACCTTCCCTCAAGGGTGAGGTCATTCCATTTGAAACGAAGGTGGAATATCTTGGCATTGTCCTTGATAAAAGACTCACCTGGAACGCTCACTTGGAAAAAGTTTTACACAAAGCCAGACTGTCTCTATGGACATGTCGAAGGATTTGTGGTAAAACTTGAGGTTTAGGTCCCAAACAAATCCATTGGATTTATGTGATGATTGTCAGAACAATGATCACTTATGGTATAATTGCCTGGTGGTCGAAGGCTTTACAGAAAACGGCCCAGGCGAAGCTCTCTGGCTTACAGAGACAGGCTTGCCTGGGTATCCGTGGTGCCATCAGTACCATAGCGTCAGCGGCCATGGAGATCCTTCTAGATCTACCTCCTCTCCACATTTTTTCTGGTGAGAGAGGCTAGATGGACTGCATTCGGACTCTTGCACATTGCCAATGGCAAAAATCAATTTAATGCAGAGTGCAACAACTGTTGGTTGACACTGGAAGTCACAGCATTCTGGAAATGACCTCTGACTTTATGCCTCCAACTGACAAGTACGAACTGCCTCATAAAGTACTATTTTTGAGTAGAGAGGACTGGATCCTCCAGGAGAAGGAAATATTAAAAGCAGACAGTTGTTGCACATCACGTGCAACCTTGATAGCCTGGAACATCGAAGAAATGTTGGAGATTTGTGTCTCTTCTATAGATACTTTCACAGGAAGTGTTCAAGCAACTTGGCATATTTGATTCCACCAAGAGCGGTACATATCAGAAATACGTGACAGACTGAGGCTGCTCGTCGTTTTGAGGTTCAACTATGTACACCTCGAACTTCACTGTATGAGAAGTCTTTCATTTGAAGAACTGCGTTCATGTGGAATAAACTTCCTGAGAACGTTTTTCCAATTGGATTTAATCTCCAGCGATTCAAATCCAATGTGAATCACTACTTTCGCACAGGCCCCGCTCTGAAAACGCCTTAAGAATTTTCCTGTAGTGCTTGTGTTTTGTCCTCAAAACAGAAAAACGGTATTGCCTTCATCCAAAGGATCAAAACCTCTTTATCAAAAAAAGTATTGACACCCCATATAACCTCGTAATGAATATTTCAGATTGGGAAATATCAACAATAATTTCCTTTGAAGTAGCTCTTCTATTCACTATTTCAAGCCTCTTCTTCCGGTTATGTATAAATCAATTTGATGAGGAGGAACCTGGTAGATAAGCCAAAGGTAAGAATGAGAAAATACAACGGTTTGAATAAAAATGAGCCAGAAAATATTGCACTGTATATTTCAGCTGAATGTGCCTAGTGCACGGAAGTTGAGTGGGTGTACTTCAAAAATTGATCGTTTTGTTCAATATTTTGTGGGTTGAAAAGCAATTTTACCTATTTACGCAGTATTTCGAATCATGATTTGAACGGAAGCTCAATTACTTTAATTTTTATAGCCGTAAAGAATGTTGGAAATGATTTTTAATGCGAAAAGTACATTGTTCCAAAAATATTTTATTGCTCGTTGAATCATTTCAATTACCAGTCCCGGGTAATCATTTTTTAGATCATACGCCAAAATTTGGAAGTATGCCCTTCGTAGATTGGTCTGAGGAGAGCAAAACATTGTCTCCAAATATCTTCTAATGAAGATGCAGAAATTGCTAATAACTGTCACACAGTGAACAGCAGAATAGGGCTGTTAAACTACCAAATACTTCAATTAAATTGATAAATCTAATGATTCTATTTCTGCTATCTATAACAAATAAGTACCTGAAGGGTTGTCTTTTGTGAAAGACAACCAAACCTCGACAATCATTGTCGCTTCCTTCTCTACAGCTTTCATCACAAGCAGAGTGGTGATCTCGAAGTTTGGATTAGTAACAGGCCGCTGTAGAGACACCACTTTCATTTTGGATAAACTAGGTTTGGGTTTTCAATCGATGATCACTTCACCGAATATCTTACAGAAGAGACAGTAGTCTGACGACACTTTAACGTTGAGGGGTTAAGTTCTGTGGCACGAGTAGCAGATATGCCCAAATTTTTTCTGTGATAGAGTCCCATCTTTTTTTAGATGAGGGAGTTTTGCCCTCTAGATAGTTCTAGAACAGTCCAGAACTTTGAGAGTAGGACTACTCACTGGTAGACGTGTAAAAAGCAAGATCCGTCAACGTTATATAATTTGAAGTTTTTCCTTTTATTCCAACGACCACTTCAATCAACATTCAGAGTGGAGCTGTGGGTATCTCAGCAAGAACTTAACAATCAATAATTCAATTAAAAATAACACAAACTTTGACAATTGATAACGGCCATTTTGTTGAAGCTGAAGTTGTCATTTATTCAGTCTGTCTTACCAAATCACCACGGACGGATGTAGCACTCAACAATACATGGCTTTGCCCATTTCACTGTCGCCATAATAAAAAAATGATAATAATAATTTAATTTAATAATGAAAAGAGAGAGAATGCATACAGCAATTACAATTTTTTTGCATAAATGATACCTACTCGATAAGTGAGCATACACCGGTTTCGTGATAAAAGTACATTACTCAACTACCTGATAAATATACAAGAGNAGCATCATCAGGAGATGACTGAAACTACTTAAAGTCATGTTATTGTTTTCAAATGTACTAGACGACAGATCACCTTGCAAATAAGGGTCATTGAATTGATTCCTAGTATTTTGTTATTGTTTCTATTATTATCTACTACCTGATTGAAACCTAATCTTCACCTGCAATTACGTAAGAGTGTGAACCATGGACTGTTTGTAATGATACCTTTATCACCGTTCATAGCACTCTTTCCACATTATTTGATTGAATAATGTGACATGAGATACCAAAAAAGTCAAAATCCAGGAAACTACACAGTGTTAGTGAGGTTGTTCGTGTCAGAAATTATTTTAAAGTTGAACAAAGCACGATGGACGTTATTCACAGTTGGTGCCTGAGGAAGCAGATGTCTGTCAACCCCAGCAAAACTGTGACAATCCCCTTCACCAGGAGGAGAGAATTGGACGATCTAACGCCATTTTCCTCAATGGTGAGGTCATTCCACTTGGAACGGAGGTGAAATATTTCAGCATTGTCCTTGATAAAAAACTCACCTGGAACGCTCGCGTGGAAAAAGTTTCATACAAAGCCAGACTGTCCCTATGGACATGTCGAAGGATTCATGGTAAAATTTGAGGTTTAAGTCCCAAAAAATATATTTCAGTTATGTTATGATTTTCAGACCAATGATCACTTATGGTGCAATTGCCTGGTGGCCGAAGGCTTTACAGAAAACGGCCCAGGCGAAGCTCTCTGGCTTACAGAGACAGGTCTGGCTATCAGCGGTGCCATCAGTATCACACCGTGAACGGCCATGGAGATCCTTCTAGATCTACCTCCTCGCCACTTTTTCTGGAGAGAGAGGCTAGATGGCCTACAAATAAACTTGTGCACATTGCTAATTGCACAAATCAGTTTAATGAAGAGTGCAACAGGCTGTTGGTTGGCACTGGAAGTCACAGCATTCTTGAAATAATCTCTGACTTTATGTCACCAACTGTCAACTACAATCTGTCAACTAGAACCTATCATTCGCATTGCTCAAGGCTATGCCAAACAAAGATTGAACACCTGGATGGCAAGAAGATTCATGGACTTCTGGCAGAATCTTTCAGGATAAGCTCACTCCAAAGCGTTTATTCACCTTTCGAAGCTTGATACCAAACAGTTGTTGGACTACAGTAGAAACTAACTACGATGTCTCACAGGCCTTCTTACAGGTCACTGTCATTTGAATCATCATATGCAGATACTTGGACTGTCGGAAGACAGTTTGTGCCGCCTCTGTTTGGAAAATGATGAAACAGCAGAAGTAAAAAAACATAC